TTCAAGTATAATTGTATTCTGAGAACTTAAAAAAAAAACTTACTGTGTGCAATTAGCTCAAATATAAACTATATTAATTATTTTGTTACTCCTGTGCAGAACTTTTGAGGTTATATATGTCCGATGAGTATTTTCCAGCCCATCTTTCTAAAGTATTTACAATACTTAGTCCTCAAATAATTATAACATTTAGCAGTTAAAGAGATATTTATGGTGAGCATACTGGAATGTTGCAGTTGAGATAACAACATGCATTAACAAGTCTATGTAAAGTATGTGTGTGCATTTATGTGTTAAATATGATGTTGATTTAGAGTTGTCACAGGAGTGGTATGTGTAAAGAATGACCTGTTCCATTGATGAGGACATGTTGGCACATGTTAACTGGGGGGAGTAATAGAGTTATATTGTAACCCTTCCAGTTATTATATACACTGGAGGTGTGCGTGCTGCGTTTAAAGTGTCTCTTTTGTGCTCTGTTCAGAACCAGTCTGGAAATGCTTCTGGGCTGAATTCGTGGATTCACACAGTTCAACGTGGGACTGTGAGAAAAAACAAAGCAAAAGTACACAACACTGAATGTTAGACCTGACTTCTTTTAAAACTTTCTAAATCTATCTGAAGATACACAAAACATGTCAGACGCCAACATTTACAGACATGTAGACACAGGTAGATATTAATTTAAATGCAGCTACTGTTGAAAGATTGTGTATATATTGCATAATTTCTGAACATATTCCAACTGCCAAACAACTTTGAAATCAAAGTTCTATATTTTTTTCTACAATAAGTTTAGATGCGTAAAATATTTGTTTGTGAGGGTGCATTCTTGTTATTTTTTTACTAAATGTATCTGAGCTTCTAAGTTATTTCTAGTGCTTTGCATCAATTGATTCCCAAGGACCCTGTCACATTTCATATTAATATCGCAAACGCATTTGGGACCGGGGTCTTTTTTGAGTGGAGTTTGCACCTCCTGTGATTGTCTGTTTGAATTTCATACCATCCAAAAGACATTGAACATTCTCAATTGCCCCCATGAGGGAATGAACATGTGTGATTACTACGAGCAATAGGTGGTATGGATAATGGATGGATAATAGATGGAAAATGGATGGATGGATGGATGGAAAATGGATGGATGGATGGATGGATGGATAGATGGACTACCTTTTTGCAACTTTTCCCCTTACCAGCCAGTAGGTGGATCCAAAAGCATGATAATGGGAAAACCCTGTTATCAAAGGCTTTTCGGCATTGCTAGAAGGCTGGCCCTGATAAGAAATGAACACACAACAGAAGTTATACGAATCAAAGTCAATTAAGCATGAATAAAAAAGTAAGACGTGAATTAAATGTGCATTAGACTGCGATGAGACCAAACAATGCAGAATTGTTAAAACATTTGGCCCTCTAATGGCATGTCACACTTGGGTGAAGTATACATTGGAAATACACTGGATCACACAGTGAGAGCTGCAGGGAGAGAAAGGTTGCAACTTTTATCTCTAAATTGGGTCATGCATTATAATCTTCCTTAGGGTGATATTCATCCTGTGCGGCAAGTAAATAATTCATAAAGTGTAGATACATCGCATTGAAATATGAGTTCTCCAGCCCAGGGTGAGTTCCACTCGTTCAAATATAGATCACATCATTGGTGGGCCGGTCTAATCAATTCAAGTTTAAACTTTGACAGCATTTGTTGAAAGACTACACTCTTTGTGTCAGATGCCATTCATTATTTCATTTCGAAACTGATTGTGTAATATTTATGACTGATGCCTTATGTCTAAAGTTCTATCTCTTTTCAGTCTTCCTCAGTATTATCAAACCATTCCAAACCAGCTCCAACCACAACTCAAAGGATATAATACTGTAGATATAGTAGATGTAATGGCAGTTTAAAATCTTCATTAATTCAGATTTTGGGGAAGGAACTGACCAATTCTTCTTAAAAATGTAATTTGGACCAACCCAAACGTTAGTTAAACCCTGGTTTCCAATGCTGTCCTGTAAACATTTGCTTTATGGCCTCTTATCTTGTGGAAGATTGCGTCTGTTTTCAGTAGCTCCTCGTGTTATGACGATTAAATTCATGTGAAAGACAAATCCAAAAGGCATGTATGACCGTTTCCCCCACGATTTGCATACTCAAACCAAAGAAGTCTCTACTTTTGGTACTTAACCAGAACCCAGACAGATCAGCAGCGTAATTCACAGTTCCCTGGCTTGTTGTTGGGAACATTCTCAGTGCCTGCTCCAACATGTGGCGCACACGCAGTGTCAGTTGTCAGCTGTCCAGTGGTGCGTTCCCTCTCTGTAGACGCGTTTTTATTTTTTTCCCTCGTTGGGAAGTTTCTGTAAAGTGAGTCAACGCGGCTCTGGCTCTGGGAGAACGCCACCCCGGCTCCACCGCTGGATCGTGCGCTTTTGGGTTTCTGCCGCTTTTTTCTTGGACTAAAAAACAAAAAAGCCAGAAGTCAGTTGAAGCATTGTTTCACACGCCCCTGGGGATGTTTATCGTCGTTTTGACGCGGCTTTTTCCTCTTTGGAATTAACTCGGCGGAGTAGGAGGGGGGGTAAAAAAAATGAAAGTGACCGTGTGTTTCGGGAGGACGCGGGTGGTCGTTCCGTGCGGGGATGGGAATATCAGAGTCCGTAGCCTGGTCGAACAAGCGGCAATGAGGTATAAAAAGGCCATTGCAAAGGTAAGTTTCCCCCCCTCTCTCTCACACATACACACACACACGCACACGCACGCTCTCTGCCGCCTGGCCCGAGGTGCTTTCGTAACGTTTGGCCGGGAGTGCGCCGGGCTGCGTGTTGGATCCAACACCGGAGCCGTAACATGGCGCTTTTATTTGGGGAAAAGGAAGAGCCAGTGGCTGCCCTTTCGAAGAAACAGACCTCCAGAGACCCGCCTTAGTGCAAGACTGAGGTGTGGTCTCACCTAAATGGCGCACCTTATTGTTTAAAAAGAGGTGGTCTGCGGAGTTGTTCCATTTGCGCCCGACAATTCCCAATTTCCCTTAAAAATAGATAGAGTTCACGTTGAGGAACGTCCTTGTTTTGGGTTTCTTGTCAGTTTGCCGGTTTTGGACTAAGTTAAATGGAATAACTTAGGCTCAATGATTAGCCCAGGGAGCCTACAGGTGCCTTCAGAGCCTGCGCAAGAATCCAAACGAGCGTTAGAGATCCCGCGCTCTGTGGGTGTTGGAGATGTGGATCCCAAATTGTTGCACACATCCCTACACAATGGACAGACTTTAACTAATGAACTTTTAGCATATACATCAGACTGTTTTTAACAGGTTAAAGTTGGTTACAACGATGTCTCTATAAGAAAACAGTCATTTTTTATGATATTGTTATAATGAATGTATTCCTTGGAAAAAAGTTGAATCTGGTAAGGGGCTGTATAAGTGTGTGAAACCCCTGTTGAAAACCTGATGATCCTTTCCCTCTCGTGGATTACAAGTGGTTGCGCTTTAAAGCGCGTGAGAGGATTTGCTCTAATGAATGAATTAAAGCTTGGTGCTGTGCCACGGTCGGAGACAGTACAGTCTTCACTGAATTTGAAGCTCACAGTGTAAAAACTAGTGTAAGTTGAAGAGTTTTTGGTATGTGGGAGACAGCTGGAGAAAACCCCTAATTTACACAGGGAGGACACGCAAACTCCACACAGAGAAGGCCCCCAGCCAGGCTTCAAACTGGGGGTCCTCTTGCTTCAAACCACAACACTTTACGGCCCATCTCTCTATAATATTTGCGTCAGCGGTACATTATACTACTATAGGCAAACACTGATATAGGTCAACATTAACACCCGTTCTGAAGAGCACTTCCTCTTTAGAGACAGAGCGATAACCACATGCCCATTCAGTCATTTGTCTGTCAGAGCATCACGGTTTCACCTGCTTCAGCAGATCTGAGGCGACTGATCTATCGATTCCTGTGGCCATGTTGTAAATGTAGAGGTTTCCTTTGCATCGTGGTTGGCATTAGGTCATCACACACTTAAGTACCACAAGCAAGACAAAACCTTTGCCTTACATGGGGGCATAGTAGGCCATAGTGGACATGTTATGTTTGAGTAAATGGTCTGAATTTATCTTTGTTTAAAGCTAAATTCCAGTACTGTTTCACATATGAGACACCTGATACAGTTTTTATCCTCCAGAGTCCCAGCATCCTCATATGAGGACATTACATTTTTGCCTCTTTTTATCACTGACAGCTTATCCTCTTAGTAGACGCTATCTGACACAAATCTTTTTTATCTAAAATAAAATGGTTCTATACATTTTCAACCAATCATGTCCGTATTGTTTAATTAAAATGTTGTTATTAAGACATTTAGACACTCGGAAAACTTTTAAATACATAAATAGACATTTAAATACACATTTTGATACACAGTCTAAATACAAATAGATAAACTACTGAAGAAAAACTACCAGTACCATGAAAAAGTCTATTTATTAAAGTCTATTTATCAAACGTATTAGGTCCTACTAATCCCAAATTTCTCTGGAAAAGCATAAACACAAACCAAATAAAAGCTCGGGTCTCAGGAGGTTAAGTATTTTAATTTCAATATGAGTAGCTAAAGTATAATATGCATAGCCATCAAATTCTCTGTCTCACACTGCAACACTTCTATTTATAGCCGGCTGTGCATGAAGTTGTAGTGTAAATAGGAAATAAAGTCACATATGGATGTGTTCATCCACAATATCATACATGTTATATTCATGTACAATGTGGGTATATGTTTGACACCTTATGTTCACATTCACTACTACCACCCAACTTTTGACTAATGCCTGTTTTCAATTATTTATTGTACTTAAGCAGTTTTGGATGTTCAAAAATATTTCTCTCATGCATTTGTCATTATACCATATTCTTTTTGGCATTGCCGTTAGTTGCCAGGAAGATATGACTGATGGACAAATGTAATCTCCACTGACAATTTGAGTCTTTGAGTTAACATGCTGAACAAGCCTAACTCAATCAGCCACAAACAGTGCTTGTGTACCTGGGGTTCCCTGAGGACTCTTGATGTCTTTGTCCCAGTCTCGGTGGGACCGAAAAGTAGGCGTCTGTCTGTGTCTCAAGCGCCATTAATGTAAGAGTCAATCTGGTGTAGTCATTCACAAAAGATTAATGATCCATTGCTTCTCACCTTACATCTCAGTCCTTAAAGCTGTTGTTTCTTGCACTCAGCCAGTGAAGTAGTGACTGAATTTACCTTTATTCAGTTAATCTGAGCTGGAGCAATATAAGGAATTACCTTGGATTTACTGTTGCAGTACAAAATACATTTTAGGTGTGATTTGGATGTTAAAATCTCTTTTTTTTCTTGCAATTTTATTCCAAATCTCCTCGACTTCCGACCAAGAGCACACAACAGACACATACACACACACACCGCTGGTACACCATCAGGCACAAATAACAAAAGAATGCTCAAACATTCATTCACTGGCTCCATAATTTGTGGTTTTAACTCTTAAAAAAGTGCATTTCAAGATCATATTTCTCCTCTACTTTCCCACAGTTACTTAGTCCGAATGTAGACAGAAGCCTTAAGGAACATAATTGCCCTTCTTTGCTCCAAAAAGTCTCCAAATGCAGTCCCGATGACATGTCACAACATAGCCACATTGTTGAAGTACGCAAATGTTGAATTTTGTCGCTGGGAAAAAAACAGATAGGGAAATCTAAGCCCTATATTTCCCTGTTAGTCTTGTATTTTTTCATCGAATAGATCAGCTGCACATCAAACGCATGTGTCCTTTGGCCCCTGGATGTCTGAGGGCAAGTTTGATCCCCTGAACCCTGGATTTATCTGTTATAGACCATAAAGATGCATATCACATCAGCACATCATACAATACAAAGCTTTGGATGAGTGTGTGTCATCTGTAAAATCCATGGAAAAATCCATCCATCCATTGTATGGTCCAAACATTGTTTGCACCTTACTCTCTAAATGAAAGATGGATCTAACAGAAGTGTGACATCATGCAGACTTTCAGTATTATACAAGGCTGTACCACTAGAGAGGAAATCTGTCTGTCCTTTTAACAGATGGACCCTAATTAGTTTGCCGTTCTTTAAGGATTTCAGTAAAGCCACATTATTAGGAGACCAGTGGAAAAAGTGCAGTTAAAAAGTGGAGCCTGACAACAAAATATTACATTTTCCCCATCCAAAAAATGGTTCGGGGAAAAAAGAAAAAGATGGAACCGTCATCCAACGACCCTGGATACCTTTTGCCGTAACTTCTTCAGCGTGTTACGCAACTAACTTCTTCAAACACCACCGGTCTGTTCTGGGTCTTGCTGCACCCCCCCCGTGCAGCAAAACTTCCATTTTTAATCCTCATTCTTGGGTAAGACTCACACACAAGCCTTTTTTTTTGTGGTGCAGCTGTGCAGAAAACATGCGGCAATTAGAATGTGGGAAGAGTCTTTGAAGGGGTTGTCAGTGCATATTAGCTGACCACACTTGGTGGTTATGTAATGGAGTTTAGACTGTATCCGAGTAGGTTTGAGGAGAATAGGTTAAAGTTGAAGGAGTTTAGGGGTGTGCGTGTTTAAGCCGCTGTGTTTAATTTAAATCACAGCAATGTAGAAAGCAGGAAAAGAAGAAAATAACTATATATACTATCTGCTTTTCTGCCTTTTCTTTTAATCTTTCTTCCTTTCGCTGCCTCACCTCTTGAAGGTAGATCCTTATTTTCCTACCATTCTCTCCAGCTTGCCCTCCTGCTTTCAAGCTGACTCCTTTCTAGGGAACAGCTGCATGCCAGCCGTATAAAACATCGCTCCTGCTGTTTCAAAACTCACGAGTTAAAGTTGGCCCGGGAGTTCAAAAACATTTGGAAAACTGCAGATCTGCTTCAGTTGAAACTTTTCATTTTCTATACATTGTTGCAACAAAGAGGTGAGGGAGTAGTCTGCAGTTTTAGATGGAGCCTGAAAACAACCAGTTAAAAGCTGTTTGCAAGTTCAAAATAGTTGGTATCAGCAAATGAAGTAATTTGGTACAATACAAGAAATCATGAAAAGAAGATAATTGTAATCAAACGTATGGTTTTAGGTATTGGATCAACACAAATGGCACAAATTGACAATTTTATTAGCACATATTAAACCTAAATGACAGAATAACTAAATATGTTATTGTAATAATGACTTACAGCTTTTTGATAAACAAGAAACTAGTAGCATTTTAACTTACACATTAAAGAAAATCGGTACCTATCAGTTTTTAATTTAAGAAAAAAAAAATTCTATTGGTAATTGTGGCAAGTTGTAAACTTCCTAGTGTCTGCTCTTATGTCAAAGATTCCCCATAGTATCAAGACTCGATATAATTGTTGACACATGTATGTAATTGAGCTAAAATGGAAACTTTAAGAATAAATAAAACTCTCAAGTATAGCGTACAGTGTGTTTATCAATGTGAATGTCTTTAAAGACAGTAAAATAACATCCTAGGACCCTTATCTAATCCAAACAGTGGCTCCCACATGGGTTACGATGAGATGAATTTGGGGTTTTCCCCCATAGGAATTGTGTGAGTTTGTATTGTAACAAGCAGTTGTCCAATACCTATGCTGGCAACTTATCGTCCCAATGTAGACAATATGGCACATGGCACATCTGGGTGATAAATAAATAGATTTAAGCAATAGAGACAAAGCAGGGAAGGTTTCTGGCAGAGAGGACTGAACATAGTAGGAAGGCGACAGGCCATCGCTCTGGTAACTGCCAGAGTTTTAGTATGCCATGGCCATGCCAAGCCATTACGTGAGTGCTTTTCCAATGACATGCTGGGAATGCTCAGGGTATGGGTCAGAGTCCGATGTCACTGCTGATGTCATGATTTTGGTTTTATTCACACGTTCTTTTTGCCTTTTCCGTGCTCCTCTGCTGCCCTCGGAGCTGGTTGACAGAAATTCCGATTGTTGTCAAATCATTTACAGATTTGACAGAACTTTGCCCTGCATAGTTCAGAGGCATATTTTGAATCGCGAAGCTTGATTTACAAGCTATTCTGTATTCTAGGTATTTTTTCATATGGTGACGTGGCTTTTGTTTTATGTCAATTTTACAGAGCAAGGCTGAGTGACATAATGTACATGAACTTTATTCACCAGATAGTTTGTGTTGTCTGACCTCACCCACAGTCTAGTAATTGTGGCGATTCCTGTTCGTTATCTTAACTTGCTAGTTTAGATAACCTGGTTAATCATTAGTCTAAACCATTAACGGAGGAACGTAGCAGATTTAAGGTCATGTACCTACTAATGTTTACATTTTAGGCTTCTTTGATTTATTCACTCACACATTTTATTTCTCTGAAAAATTCCTCGCTAATTCATAGCAATCATCTGTAGCCAAAGGAAAGATGTATCTTGAAAATCCAGAAGATATGTTGTACCAATTTGCCAAAAGGTTCCACAATTTTTTTCTTATTTTTGCCAGAACAGTCACACTCCAGAGCAGAAAGTTGTGTCATCATAAGCCAGGCCAAGTTTGGTAATTTTCTTTAATTACCTAGATGTAGAGCAAATATTTAATTTCTTACTGTCAATCCCTAGATTGATTAAGAGGTGTTTTTTTAATCTCTTTATCAGATTAAGTCATATATTAATTGATATAACTGTTTTTCCATTGTATCATTAAGCACTATTTTCTGGATACACCAATTTGATTACATGTATCTAATCACGTTAAGTTAATTGGAGACTCTAAATTGCCTGTTGGAGGGAATGTGTGTGGCTTTCTGTTTCTGTTTCATCAGTCTCTGTGTGTCTGGTGATTGGTTCAAAATGTACCCTGCGTGTCACCCAGTGGCAGCTAGGATAGCCTGCAGCACCCCCCAGACCACACTACAAGAATAGAACAATATAGAAAATGGATAAATAGATCCTTTAAAAGGTATTCTGCTGTTGCTGTGTAGAAACAGGGTTTAATATTGTCCAGATGAAGAACAACATATCAAAACTGATTATAAAATGTCATGTTTCGTGTTCTTTTTTTTGCATGACATTGCATGGCTAACTTGTGTCTAGCAACCAAAGTTATTGCTGTTTTTGGCGCTCATACCCCAAGCTGTTGACTAGTTTCTACACACCCGCTGCCTAAGGCTCTAGTCTGAAAACATCACAAGGGGCGGAGGGGTGAGGTTTGTTTTTGTGTGCATTTGTATGACACCACACTGAAGTAAAGTGCATTCGAAAAAAAATGAAGGGTTTATTACAGATGTATTAGTTTGTTTCCAAGCTTTTATCTGTTCTTTTGATGGATTAACCATGTTGGGCGTGACAAGTGAATGTCCTGGGCCCAATATATTTTCCAGTTCTTTAATTTGAAATTGACAAAAGTGCCTTAGTAAAGTTAAAGAAAAAAAGCAGCTTATCTTAAAAGTAATCTCAAACCCATCATTCTAGCTGTAGAGTCCAAGTCAAATCAGAGAGGGAAAGCCACCTTTGAGCCTATACATTACTTGTAGAACTCTTTTCTAAACAGTCTGGGTTAACTTGGCTATGTTGACTTTGTCCATGTTATTTTATCTGTTGGAAGAGTACATACTGTCATATACTGTACATATTGTATATGCTCAGAGCTGGTGGAGCTGCCATGACAGAATAGAGCAAATTTAATTACAACACAGAATGACATCTTAAGAATGTCACTACAATGCCATATTTGAATGTATAAATGCATATTGATGCTGTGTAAAAGAAGAAAATGTAATTGTTTCTTAAGAAACCCTGTTTTGAAGATGTGTTGCTATGCAACAAAAAGTGCACCAAAAAGTAACTTGGCTTCTTTCTGCATGTTTTCTATTTCATTCTTTAATGTGTATTTTCTAATAAACTCTACATATAAATATGGATACATTTGATTTGCTTTTGGAGATCTTAAAAGTAAGCTCCTCTCATATAATTTGAATGAGGAGTGGTAGCTGAGAGGCCATGGTAGGAACCTAATTTCACCCAACTGAAACACAGTAAAACATGTCGACAAACATGATTATGATTTGCATTGTCACAGAAAAACCTTGCTGTTGTGCCAAGTGATGTGGAAGCTGTATTTGTAGTGGGCATAGCTATACATTTCACATAAAGTCAGTAATACAAAGTAAGTTAAATTTAGAAAGAGATGATTACCACCTCTTTCCAGCATCATAGGAACCCAACCTTTGTTTCTAGAAAATTAAAAAATGTAATCCTAGCCTTTCCGGAATTGTAGATGTAATTATAACTATAAAGTGTTGGTGAAAGTTCAGGTAGTGAAAATGTATTTGGTGGAAAGAAATAATAGCAGTCATTTTTAGTTCTTTGGTTGGTTCATATATGTTATACTGAGAGGTTGAAGCAACGGGAGTTTAAAATGACGACACTCAACTGTGTCCAACTAGTCTCAACGAACAACCACTGGAACTACACTAAGCTATAGAGAACTACTAACATTCATTTAGCCTGTTTGTAAAACCTTTATGTTCTTATATGTTTACATTCAAGTTGAAAAATATATTTTTTTGTATTCTAGGTTTAGCTTGTTACACAAATACGCGTTTAAATGGCATTTTTTTGGTACCTTTGTATTTCTCATTCCACACCTGTGAGGGACAAGTGTTAACAAAGGCCAACTCTGTGTGTGTGTGGTGTTTCGACTTGCACGCCATTCCAAGCTCTCTTGGGTGTGATCCACACTTTTGTTAACAACCTTAGAATATTGTGCAGTTTGCAGTTTGTGAATGAAGCCCAGTGTTTTTTAAAAACAACCAGTGACCTTTTACCAATTCATTCATTCTATTAATTTGTTTAAGGTTATTTACCAATCAAGTATGAACACGTTCAGGCCATTGCTTAGACATCCACAGTACCAGTGTAACGATGGTAGAGCAGTTACACTTGCTGGATTGTTGTTTACTTGTTAAAGCAACACAAAAACTCAGTTTTGAAAGTTTTGAAATGTCTTTTAAATATGAAAAAAGCTGTTGACTCTCAGAGTTTTACGTAGGGTATGTCAACAAAAACACAAGTCTTACTGTGAGCTTACCGTGTGATGTCCTGCTATTGTATGCCCTGTTTTTTAGCAATATATTAGCTCATTTTCACCCAGGTGATAAAAAGACCTGTGCTTCTTTCGGCTGAGAAAAGTACGTTTTATACTGCTTAATCTTTGAACCTTTCAGCTTACTTTTCTCTCAAGTATTTACTTAAAAATATCTAGCGGTTATCTTTTTTTTAAATAGCTTCCGCAACCAGGAAGCATATTAGCTTTCAAAACCTGAGCTAATATAGGAAAAGCTTTAAGCCTTTTACTCTGTGATTCAAGATTCTTCCCCAAGAATAAATAATGTTCTTACATCAAAATAGGAACTATTATTTTCAGTGCTTACAAAAGTGAAAGAAAGAGAAGAAGGCTGGAAGAAAAGACTTAAGCTGCTCTTAAGCTACAGGCTAATGGCTTACAGAAGTCAGATGCTTTAGCTCAGGTTGCATTTTCTGGCATCGGGTTTTATCTTACAAGCAAATCTTTTTGCTTTTTGTTTGAGTTTACTTTGGCCACTTTACTTTTGGCTTCATCTTCACCCCTAAAATATCAATTTTTCCAACAGACAGGGGTCGTGGTTCATGTGATTTATCTTCCTCTGTTGTCTTCCTATCTTTAAAGCAGGCCTGTCTGTTTTGTGAAGTGTCCAAAATGAAATTATGGCATTCAATCCTCCTCTATTACATACATTATGTCCTGTATATCAGTGGACAAAATGAAATGCGTTTTCTGCACGCACATCCAAAAAGATTTGAGTACACCTTTTATTGTTAAAAGCTTTTTAAAATGACAGGAATTGGGAACATTGAGGTCATTTTTAGTGTTAGTGAATCTCAGAATTAGGCTAGTGTACTTGATCTTAAAGTCCTTCAATTCAGTCTTTGCCTTTTCTAGTAAACACTGAACATACCTGTTTGCATATTGTTGACTAAGGAGTTTTTATTGTGGAATTGAAGGAGTCAGTAGTTCCACATTCAGATTTATTTCTGATAAATGTCTTTCATGATCAGTTGTGGCCCAGACCTGCCTTCCAAGGAAAGCATTTTAAAAGTTTTTCTGTTTTATAAAGTCTTTGGCCATGTAATATAACTTAGAAATTGAAGTGTTTACAACTAAATATGATTAAATAAAACTGTACTAAATTATACTTTTTCGTATTTTTTTTTTCATTTTAGACCCAGCGGTTTTGCGAGTGTAAATTCAGCTCATCTGGTTTCAGTGGTAACAATTAATTTTACTGCGAGAATTTTACTGATGAGTATGTAACGTTGTGGATTTGTCTGTGCAGAGTAATTTCCTGCCCAGACATTTTTGCTGGTCACAAGAACATGTTGTGGGATGATTAGTGTTTGCTTCGACCATGAAATGGGGTCATTCGGTACAGACCAAGAAAGTGCGGCTGAAAAACATTACAACTATTCAAGTGAAATTGGGGTTGCTTAATGTCCATCGTGCCCTTTTCTCAAACATGTTGTTTTATTAATTTACACTCAGGGTGTAACAATGACCAAATGTTGTTGTTTTTTTCAGTTGTGCTGTCTGTCAAATTTTTCAGAAGTGTCCAAAGAAAATTCAATCAATCTTTGTCTCATAATTTCATACTGCTGTACCACTGTAGACTATTCCAAGTTATATTGTTTGGATAATTGGCACAGCTGAAGAACAACTGAGAGTCACTGCAGCCTGACTTTGAAATGATATAATGAGTAACAGATGTGTTAACTACATGTCTTAGGGTAAGAATAAAGGGCCGTGATAGCAGACAGGGCCTGTATATCTATTTTCAGAGGCTATGAGGATGCTGAGTTGCCACTGACAGGCCTAAAGTGTTGCACCCTGTGATTAGGGATCAGTAGTGTCTAAGGGAAGGAGTTTCTCTTTAAATTGCATCTGCTCTCTGCAAGCAAATCTTCACATCCCCAAAAAAACCTAGCCTAAAGGATGCCGACCTGAAAAAAAAGCAGATGCTTTTGTGTCTTTTTGTCAAAGATAGTGAAAACCACTTGGATAAAAATGTGCAGGGCTTTCTGCACTGGGAACTTGTCAGTAGTTTTCTTTGGCTAAACTAGATATTTTACTGTGAGAATCGACGGGACAGTGGTTTTAGATAAGTTCACAGAAACCTTTTTTAAGGTTTAAATTGGAAGTTTTCAGAAAACCCTCTGACACAAATGCACTGTATGTTCTTTAACCTACAAAAGAAATTGAAGATGGCAGCGCTTTGTATATAAACATCTGTTTATACCTAGGTTGGGCAAAGACTGTACACTAAAAATGGGTGAATAATTCTTAAGATTATGTTAATTTTCGAGCAGGGAGTTTGCAGGAGGTGCTGATCTTTAATCATTGTTATCCAGAAAAGTGCCAGTTGAAGCCTTGTTGGAGCCTGACAAGCAGCATGAGTTAGGTATCATATATCACATTACATACACATACACACACACACACGCACACAACACAAACACACACACACACACACACACACACTTACACAAGTGTGCTGACTGGTGTACATTTGAAAGGACAAAGCCTTTTTAGTAATTTGTGTCTTATCAATGCTACATAAGTTCTACAAAGATATGCTGTATAAACATGACAGTGCATTAGTTCAACAATGCAACTCTTTCACAGATTAAGCTTGTTTAACTTTGATGTGTTTGCGGATTTCTGGAGTCAGTGTGGGTGTACGTGTTCGTGTTCACTTGCTGTAGGTGTAGGTGAGAGACCCGGTTTAGCCGGTTTGCCTCTGTCAGCTTCCACCCTGTCTGTCAAACAAATAGATTTTCCAGCAACGATCTTATTTGTAGTTACCAAAGAACAAAGTATTCTGTGGAACTACACTAATTCTTGAGAGTCCAGCAGACCAAAAGTCTTTGTTGATCTTTTATTATTGGGACTCTAAGAAGTGCTCCAACAATCAATCATCAATTTAATTAGGCAAATATGCAAGGTAATAAGCCATTGTTTATTAAATTACTCTTTGGTTATAGGTACATTAATTGCTGCAATTTCTCTTGCTTAAAAAAATGGATTCCATTTAATTTAGTGAGCAAGGGGAACCAAGCGATTGTGATTGGCCTAAAACCTCTAATATAACTATATGTGAATGTTCAAGAATGGTTTTAAACCTGGAACAGATCTTAAGGATTTTGCTGATTTGAATCATTTTAGTTTTGCTTTAGGTCATGTTGTTAATACAACTTAACACACAAAATCTCAGTGTTTCTATGTCACATCCATCCATCCATCCATTATCAATACCGCTTATTCCCTGATGGGGTCGCGGGGGGAACTGGAGCCTATCCCAGTGTCTATGTCACATTTTATCATTTTTATTAATGAGCACTACTTCATCTGCTGAAATGAATGAGTTGTCTGACTCTGCAGGCCTTTTAGCCACACCATCTTCACCACTGCATGCAGGTTTCTACCACCAAGATTGACCATGTCGCTAGTGCAAAACAATGCCATTTTTCTTTCTCGTTGGATCTCTTCTCACAGCAAGCCTTCAACTTTGGTGGTCCTGAAGACAATTGATATCCTCCTCCATCACTCCCTGACTTTAATGTGCACATTTGGTGAAAGCAATGGGAGGTGGAAGAGGTGTGGTCGTGGAACAGTGACAGAGTAGCGTGCTGTCAAACTGATACAAAGTTATTGCATTACATTTCAGATTTTGGACTGAACTACAATAAAGGTGGTGGTAAAGGGGGGTGACCAGGCCAAAAAATTCCAGTCTGAATCATCAACCACTTTGAGTAAAAAAAAAAGAAAAAAAGAGTACACATAATCAACATTAACTATTTTTTAAATATTTATTGTAGTAAGGGGTTGATGTCATTAGAAACAGAATTGAATGATAACCTCTCTTGTATCAGTAACTTTATGAGATCCTGTTGATAAAATATGCTGCACAGTTAATTACATAAAAAAGTGATCTAACCAAGGTTTGCAGAATGTTAACTGTCAATATAGTCCTTCCATCATTAAGCCTTTGCTGCATTCTCCTATATAACTGAATACCTGTATATGCATGTCATTAGTTATTAGGAAAATGATGGACCTTCCTAAATGTAACAAGGTTGTTTTTGGGATTGACGGGTTGTTTGTATGTGTAATCATCTATCTATATGTGAGAACATATCTTTTCCTACTGGTGTATTCTATTATTTTATTACTTATTAGATTTATTTTTGCTGTTTTGTTTCAAAACCATTTTTGTCCTTCTTCAGTCTCCTATTGTAATAATTATCTTAGTCTTTTCTTTGTCTTTTCTGTTATTTTTTCTTATTTGCAGTTTTTAAACAATGTATTATACATTATCACACAGAGCTCAAACTAAAGAGACCTGCTTTAGTTTTTTTCTGCAGAAATAACTTAATTACCAAGTAGTTTGGAGCTGTCAAACCTTTTCTGTCAAACCTAGTGACTGTGCAGTCAAAGTTTCCTTCCTGAAACAGTACTCACAGATGTGTGGGTCTCTGTGACTTCTACAATAACACCTTTGACAAAAACACTGCATCTCCTTTTTGGACATGAAATACAGTTATAGTTGTCAATTCCTGCGTGTTGTGTACAAAGGCAACCATAAGGTAGCTTCTATTTTCTGTAAAAGACCAGTTATAGAACACTAGTAACAAAAGATTAGTTATGGACAGAAATTATATTACCATAGCTCCTATTTTGTTATTTATTTTCCTAGGAATATTTATACATTCTATAGATAAAACTGAGAGATAACTAAAAGAACAAGGTGTCAAGTTGTTGTGATTTGTTCTCTGATCCTTTATTATTTGATTGATTACCAGTTTCTTTGGTTGATTGCTACTCTGCAATCTATGGTTAGATTTGAGGTATTGAATTCATAGCATCTTGTTTTGATGTAGGAAAAGTTGTGCACTGCAAGTTGATGTTTAAAAAATGTAATGAATAAGCAAAATTGTGGTGGGCTGCCTATGGATCAGTGAGGAGGAGAAGGGGAATTCTTCGAGTTTTGCAGACTAGTCAGTGATATAGCTCTGTTGATTCAGCTTCCGCCAGGGTCCCCACCTTCAGCTACTACCCGTATTGCACTGCATCTGACCCCTTTGACCCATCCCTTGGACGGTGAGCCCATCGTAAGGGAGACCCATGTGAGTCCACCTGGTGCATGGCAGCGTGCCCCACCACCGGGCCTGGCTCCAGAGAGGGGCAATGGTGATCTGGGCAAGGGAACACTTGGCCCATGTGTCGCACTTCGTCTAATCCCTCACCTACGATCTTGTGGCAGTAGTGCTACCGTGGGTGTCCCGACAGAGTCTTCCAAGACCAGGATTTGTTGGTTGAGATGGTTTATTCGAGCGTGTTGGGCTTTTTTGTTCGAAGGCTGTTTGTGGCCCCTATCTGGTGGCTCGGGTCCTGCTCCAGTTCTCCTTCCTCCACCAGGTCCAGCACGCTACTCTTTTTACAGAGAGGAGAGTGATTAGCCAACTGATTCCAGTTGTGCTTAATCACCTCCCTTGGCACAGCTCCCCTGAGCCTTCCCCACTCCTCCCCTCCTGCAGCTGAGCGCCACGCCCCCTCCACAGACCTGTTAGCCTTGGGTGCCCCTACCAAAGGCTTAAAGCCTCCTACAATAATTGGGATACTCAAAACACTCCACCACAATAAGTTGGCAGCCCATGGAGGGGCTGCCACCCCCTCACGGATGAGTGTTAACCGGACGGGATGAGGATCAGTGCCTCCAAATCTGAGGCCATGGTCTCGCACCAGAAAAGGGTAGAGTGACCCCTCCGGGACAGGGGGGAGATCCTTCCCCAAGTGGAGGAGTTCAACTACCCCATGGTCTTGTTCAGAGATTGTCAGGCAGATCGGTGAAGCATTGGCAGTAATGGGGGTGCTGTACGTGGTGAAGAGAGAGCTGAGCCTAAAAGCAAAGTTCTCAATTTACCGATTGATCTATAAGCCCACCCTCATCTGTGGTCACGAACTTTGAGTTTTCTCCGAAAGAACGAAATTGACGATACAAGCGGCGGAAATGGGTTTCCTCCCTTAGAGATAGGGTGAGAGGCTCGGCCATCCGGGGAGGGGCTCAGAGTAGGACACGACGATAGAAGCCAGTTGAGGTGGCTCAAACATCTAATTAGGATGCCTCACGGAGGTGTTCTGGGCACGTTCTGGGACCGGGAGGAGACCCACAGGAAGACCCAGGACAG